GTGCCTCCGCCTCCGGTTCCCTGTCCCCCGGGGGCCGTCCTCCCCTGCAAGTGCTCCGATCCCACGGCGCCCCGGGGCCCCAGTATAGGAGTCGTGTGCGGCCGGGGTGAGGACGCCATCCCTTGGGAACCCTCGGGCCTGGGAGACCCATCGCTGCCCCTGCCCGCACAGCGGCTCGGCTGCTTGTCCCTCCGGCCCAAGGCCAGGTGTCCTGTCGCGCATCCCACACGCAGCCTGAGCGGCCCCACCGGCCTCCGTGTCCACGGGCCCTTGCCGCTCAGCTCTGGGGCTCCACTGTCGGTGCGCCCGTCTTCCCTGCCCCCAGGCGGGGATGGGGGGGCCACGGGGGGGGCGCCACAGGGCCTGCTCCCCCAGGGCAGGACGGGGAGCTCCCTGCATAGCACAGCGTGCACCCGGCCCCAGGAACACACGGCCTGAAGCCTTGCCCGGGCCCTGAGCGCGGCCTGCACGCTGCCAGGCGTGAGGGGCCTGTCCCGCCTCCGGGGGCTCTGGGTCAGGGGTCTCCGGCGGGTGACCTGAAGATGGATGGAAACCAGGGCCCGCAGCGCCAGGTGCCAGCCCTTCCCCAGCCCCGCGTGCGGCGTTTGCGGGGGTCCCCCCCCCCCCCCCCCGCCAACCCTACCCTGAGGGCACTCGAAGCCCTCGAGGAGCCGCGGTGTGGACAGGGCTCAGCATCTTCTAGGCTGCTCTTCTCCCCGTAACTGGAAGCCGGGCCCTCCCTCTCCCCTGCACCCGTCTGTCCACCCCCACCCCCCTGGCAACCACCAGTGCGTTCTCTGATTTTATGGGTCTCTTCCTGCTTTTTGTTCGTTTGTTTAGATTCCGCGTACACGTGAAATCACATGGTGTTTGTGTGTCTCTGGCTTACTTCACTCGGCGTAATACACACTGGGCCTGCCCGTGTTGTCACAAAGGGCGAGGTCTCATCCTTTATATGGCTGAGTGATACTCCATCACACACACACTTTTTCATCCACTCGTGTACTGATGACCACGGGCGTGGCTTCCGTGTCTCGGCTATGGTAAATAACGCTGTAATAAACATGGGGATGCAGGTACCATCTCTAGTCAGCGTTTTCATTTTCTGTGGGTAAATAGTAGTGGAATTACCGGATCACTTCTCACAGAACCAGAACAAATATTACTAAACTTTGTTCGGAACCACAAAAGACCCCGAGTAGCCAAAGCAATCTTGAAAAAGAACAGAGCTGGAGGCATCACAATCCCAGCCTTCAAGGCACACGGCACAGCTACCGTAATCACACAGCCCGGGGCCGCCACAAGGCAGACACACAGCTCAACGGAGCAGAAGAGGTACGGCCCGGAAGCAAGGCCTTGTTTCTACGGTCGGTCGGTCCTGACAAAGCAGGAGAGAACACGCAATGAGAAAAACTCTCTTCAACCAGTGGGGTTGGGAAAACTGGACAGCAACACGCAGAAGACTGAAACTGGACCACTGTCTTTCATTACTCACAGAAATAAATTCAAAGTGGATGAAAATCCTACTCATGAGCCCCGAAAGTACGCGACTCCTAGAAGACAGCACAGGCAGTTATTTCTCCAACATCGGATGGGCAACTTTTTCCTGGCTGTGCCTCCCGAGGCAAAGGAAATAGAAGTGAAGACAAACTACCACGACTGCATCAAAGTAAAAAGCGTTTGCACGGGGGGGGGGGGGGTGCACTACCAACCAAACGAGAGGCCGGCCTGCTGCACGCGGGAGGGTATTTGCACACGACACATCCAACAATGGATTAACATCCAAAATACGTAACAAACTCGTGCAACTCAACACCAAAACCCCCAACAATGTGACAGAAGAACACGCACACACTTGTCCAAAGTCGCTCGAGGGCCAGGAGGCACGTGGGAAGGTGCTCGGCAGCGCTCGCCACCAGGGCAATTTAAATCAAACCGGCGCAGAGACACTGCCTCCCGTCTAGACTCAGGAAGAAACGCGGTGGCGCCGATGTGAACAGGGAGCCTCGGCACAGCTGCTGGGAACGCAAACTGGTGCAGCCACCGTAGAAAACGGTGCCGTGTGTTTACCTTTACCAGACATTTGTTGAGCACCTACTGTGTGGCACTCGGCCTGACTGCAGGGACGAAGGGACGAGCTGTCCCTCTAGTGCGCGGTCATCCTGCAGGTCAGGTGACCGCCCCCTCCCCCCAGGGATAATCATCCTTGACCGCAGGGCACCTGTCACCCCCCCAGAATCACGTGCTCTCTCCAGAATTACACAGCAGAGACAAGAGCCATCAGAGCCACACTCAGGAGTTTATTTTCCGACTCGTCGGGGTGACGATCGTTCACACAGCACAGGCACCCGCGGCTGACGCCTGCGCGGATGCGGGGGACGTGTGAGGACCGGGCCTGAGGTGCGGGTGGGGAAGCTGCGGGCTCTCCTTGTGCCTGTGCCCGGGGGAGGGGCGCGGGGGAGGCAGGGGGTGTGGGGCCCCAGTGTCCTTTCACTTCCCGGACTCCTGGGGTCCTGAGAGGCCGGCTCCCCAGGGCCCGTCCTCAGCCTCTGGGGAAACAAAGGGCCTTTGGTCCAAGGGCTCCCGACTCAGCACTTTCTCATTCCGGCCCCGGGCGGAGTTCACAGCACTAAGAGTTCCAGAATCACTAAGGCTGCTGTTTAAAGTGTGACTTGTTTTGGAAGCACGCCTGGCCCAGCTGCTCGGAGTTCTGACAAAGGCCGCCAGCAGGTCCCTGCTCCACAGAAGGCCCGGCGTGAAGCCAGGAGGGAGCTGAGGGCAGGGAAAGGAGGTGGCTCCTTCAGAGGCCCTGACCACAGTCCGCAAACAGCTGGGCGGGCAGACAGTTGCTCTACAATTGCCCCCAAGCCCCATGCCCCTGCGACCGGTCACAGGGTGTGGACAGGGCGCCCCCCACAGTCTTCTCACGTCCAAGAACCAGGGAGCTCAGGATCCCAGGGTTCCCAAAGAGTTAAGCAGAATGTTTTCCGAGGAGTCCATCTCAGCCACCGAGCGGTGGGCATCCCCTGGCCGCCCTCCCCGTCGGAGACAGGTGCTCCCCCAACCCTAGGGTCTGCGGGGCGCTGCCACCTCCCTTCACAGCAGAAGCCTGGCCGCCACTGACAGGCCAGGGGGCGGCACGGACGGAGGCCTGCTCAGGGACACAGCCCCAGAGGGTGACGGCGGGACAGGGAGCACTGGCGGCCAGAGCAGCGGGAGGGCAGAGCAAGGAGGGAGGCGGCCCAGCCCGGGGTCCCCGAGCCCCCGGCCAGCTGTCCTCTGCTCGCCAGCCCTTCCGGCCCGCTGCCCTGCCCTTCTCGCTGCGGCTCTTCCCCGAGCTTCCAGAAGGCCCCCACCCCCCAAGCGGCCGCTCCACAACCTGCCGGCAGCTGGGCCTGGGGTCACCGCGTGGCCACACAGTGGGCTCTCTACACACAGCAGACGGTCACTGTCAATAAAACCGTATGACTGACAAGGCGAGAGCTTGGCCAGCAGAGTGAGCACAGGCCCAGGGAGGAGCAGGGGTTGCGGGGAGCCTCCCGTGGTGTTTGGTGTTTACTGCTCCCCATGGGGGGGGGGGCAAAGCGGAGCGAGGGGAGGGAGGAAAAGGGGCGAATGCCGTCTCGGCCTCAGCGCGAAGCTTCTGTGAAGGGGAAGGGTGGGTGGTCTATAGCTTAGATGCCCCAACGGGCCTAACTGTGTGCAAACCACTCACAGCGCTGCTGGGACTAGGGGTCCCCCCGCCTCGGGCGGAAGCGCCCCGCCACCCACTCACCGGGGCCCACGGGGTCAGCCGCTCCCGCCTGCTGAAGAGCAGAGACCCAAGAACCAGGCGGCACCGCAGGGACCAGGAGCCTGTTTGCCCACGAGGAAAGAGGGCAGGGGGAGGCGGGGTGGCGGGGCAGGGCCCGCAGCTCCTGGGTGACCTGCGACCCTGGGGCCAACGCGGGGCTGCGGCCTCAGGGGCTCTTGTAACCTCAATGGAGGGGCCTGCGGGGCAACCACCTGACGGCTGACGCACTCACCCAGGTGCCTGGCTGCCCCCACAGAAGGCGCCGGGGACGCAGCCCCCTGCGGGGAAGCTGTCGTTCTGAGTCCCACACAGGGGGGGCCCCTTCCCCTGAAGCTTCTGACACAACAGACCACGACTGTCCCGTCTGCAGGGACGCGGGGCTGTGACGCCGCTCCGCTCTCCGCCAGGAAGCGTGCGATGGGTGGGCTGTGGTGTCCCCTTGGGGCAGGAGCACAAGTGCCAGAAGCAGAGCCCAGGGCGACCAGAGGCAGGGTTGACACCTCCCCCCTCCCAGCCTTCGGCAGGAGCCTGGCTCACAAACAGGCCGTCGGTGACGCGGTCCCGCGGGCTCCCCGGGTGGAGGTCGCACGCGCTGATCCTCTAAGGGGCCGTGCTGGATACAACATGGGGACCGCTTAGCACAGCCTGGGGCCTGGCTGTTCCCTGTCGAGGAAACAGTCTTCGCTGAAACAAGAATCTTAATTTTTACAGCCACTACCTGTTGCGAGGTGACCTAAAGAGAAACTTAAATAACCTTTTTCCCCTTAGATGTTACGTTCCTTAGAAATGGACGGATGGACGGATGCACTTCTCACGCAGAAGGCATCTCTTGCGGGGCCGTTATCCAGCGGTCCCGAATCTTTGAGCCTCGGATCTGGGGACGGCAGCTGCCCCGGTGGCAAGGCAGGGGACAGGGGGCAGAGGGCCCGCGGCGGGGGAACCGTGCTGTGCACCCCCACGGGGCAGAGCGCTGTCAGGAGGCCCAGGGCGCGCCCCACACCGCTCCCTGCTCCTCCACGAATGCCACTTGGCGGCCGTGAGCGTCACACTCACGCACGACCGCAAACGGAGAAGCACACCGCGTGTCTGTGAGCGGACCAGCGTGTTTCACTCGCTCGCCGACACACACCTGCACCTGCCCCGCTCCCGCAGACTTCTGGGACGGCAGCGTTCGCTCAAAATGCGAGAACTAACGGTGCCCGGCCAGTGACGGCAGCTCTTTTGTTTTAATTGACAGACAAGAGTTGGTCACGTTCAGAGATGAGCGGGCCTCACGCAGATGGTGAAAACCATCCTTCTCTTCCTTGGCTCGCCATCTCCTGATTTCAAGTACCGGCCACCAGTTCCTGGGGACAACCTGGGGCTGTCCTCCTCCACAGCTACGGGACGCGGCCGCAGCCACTGCTGGACGGCGTCTCACTGGATATCGTCATCATCAAAGAGGTCTTCAAAATCTATACAAACGAACAAAACCACGTGTTAATGGGGCACGTGAGGTAAACAATGAGAAAAGAACATCAAGATGAATTACATGGTCATTCAACATAGGGAGACAGCAGCAAACAGGCGAAGGGACTCCTTGACAGACCCCGTTTTACCCAGAGTCAGACAGGCTAAAATGCATCATTATTCCTTTGTGTCAGTAACAATCTTACAGAACACAGGCAGAGGTGAGGCGATGCGGCTGGAAGGCTGGCACAGAACCCCACCGAAAGGGGGATGCCGAGGCCAGGCAGGAGGAAGGTGCCGAGAGCACTGAGCCATGCAAGAATGGCTGTCCCGAAGCGAGTCTTGAGAAACAGGCTGTGCCCCTCCTACTGGAAGAAACACTACAAACCCACAGTGCCCACTTCTTGCGACGGCAGCCACGGTCTGCATGTCTATGCACTCCCTAACGACGATGGCCAGCCTGTGTGTCTACGCACTCCCTAACAACAGTGGCCACAGTCTGCGTGTCTACGCACTCCCTAAACCCACTACGAGCAGCACACCTTGCTGCCACCGCAGGGAGAGGAAATCTATGACCCCGGTAGTACCGGGCGTTCCAAACTGTGCAGGGTAAACATGGAGCTACAAAGAGGTGAGTGGAAGGCCCCGGTCATGCCTCTGCATCCAGGCTGTCACGGGCAGGGACTGTCCCAGAGACCCCCTGCTCGGCTGCGCGCCCCCGCCACACAGACTTGAGCGGTTCCACTGCAGCCGGGCTGGCCTGTGGGCCTACAGCTCTGAGCACTTTGTCCCCAGCTCCAGCCCCAGCTAACCTGTCACACTCTCCAACCTCTGCTGGGGTGTCACCCCCGGGGAAACTGCCCTGTGATGTGCTCCCAGAAGCAAAGCCACGGGCCTCTGCCAGGGCTCTTGTGACGACTGTCCCTACGTGCTGTCTCGTCTAACACTCCCCTTTTCACGGCCTGAACCCCAGAGCCCAGGGGGCAAGAGGGCAGAGCCTCTGCTCGAGCAGCGAGGACTGAGAAGAAACGCCACGCGCACCCTCACGGCCTTCTCATGGAACACTGGGGACTGTCACAACCCGAAGGGCGGCCAGCACCTCGCGAGCGGTCGGGGGCAGGCTGACGCCGCGCTGAGTTCTTCTGTGCCCCTTCCCTTCCCAACCCAGATGCAGCGGAGGCGGCCCACACTCCTGCCCCGTGCTCCCGCGGAGCAGCCCGGGTCCCTCCTGGGCGCCTTCTTGGCAGGATCAACGGGCTGTTTTCAGAAACCACATGAACCTGAACGCTAGAATACACAACTGTCTGTAAACACAAGACACGTGGGACCTCGAAGGAGGCCATCACACGTGGGAGCGGGTCGGGTGGCGTCAGGGACCGCCCGCCCTGCCTGGGGTGAGGGCCCGCCCAGGTGGCCCACGTGAGCCAGGGCCTTCACACGGTGCTCCGGAAAGCTAGGGAAACGCAGTCCAGGCCTCACAGCTGCGGGTGGCCCGGGTGTCGCCTCAGGGGAGCAGCCGGCCTCCCTGGGAAGACGGACCTAATTCAACAGCCTGGCTTCTCTTTTTAGACAACTTGCTAAAAAGATTCCAGATAAAATACCATGGACTCGGGATCTGGGGTGGGAGGTGGGGGGGCTGGTGCATCAAACCAGTGTGGCCAGGTCCCATCCCAGCTGCCACCAACCAGAGCCCAAAGTTCTTTGGAGCAGCAGGCGCCCAGACGAAAGGAGGGTGACAAAGAGAGAAAAAAGCACTTAACCCCCTAGGAAGACTCGTGTCTCCCCTTTGACGTGAATGCTTAGTAAGAACTAGTACGTTCTGCGGGAACAAGGCCTTAGGAGATCGGAACCCAGCGAGAGAAACACCCCGGGGGACGTGCGGGAAGGGGTCACACATGCTGTTTGCACCGCGCTTACCATCCACGTTCCCGGAAACTAGCGCTAGAGCTCTTATATACAAGCGAGTCCCGCCCTTGGAGGTGGAGGGGGTGGGGAGCTGGCTGTCGCTGTGCTAAGGGAGCTGAGAGACCAGATCCCGGGGACACAGGGAAGGACAGGAAACCAGCTGTCGGGATGCAGCAGGCACGAGACGGCAGGCTGGGGTTCCCACAGCCGTGTCCAAGTTCAACTAGTGGAATGCAAAACGGGGGGCAACTTTACCCCACTTGTCCTCCTGAGGACCAAGGCTGAGGGCCGTGTCGTCCCCTCCTACACACTGCTCGGCACCCGAGAACGGCACACAGCCGGGCTTGCCGTCCTCTGACCCCCGCGCTCACGTCACACAGCATCCCACTTGTAACACACGCAAGAGACGTGCAGATCAGAACTGGGACCCCCATCCCGGCATCCTTACCGTTGAAAAAGTCGGCATGAACTGCCTTTTCGTTGGCCGCCAAGTCCATCAGGAGCCCGGTGCTGCCTCCAGCCTGGGAAGGGAAAGGTGAGGCCGTGTCAGTCCTTTGGGGCAGGGGAAGGGGAGGGAGGGAAAGGTGCCCGGGGGGAGTCAAAATTTAGTTCCAGGCAGAGGAAGTGGGTGAGAGAGGCAGCATTCCAAGGAATTATTTTGAAGGCCGCCTTGGGTCTTACATTGCTCGATTCCTCCTGGTTTTGAACAGACTCCCGCTCTCGCCCTGACCAGCACCACGCCCCCCAGTGCCCTGAACCCCACGTCTCTGCAGGCCTGGAGAAGAGGTTCTAATTCCCTGTAAGATGTTGCCACAGAGGCCAGGCCCAAACGTGCAAAACTGTGCCTGCTGAGTTCTCTGCTCCGGACTGCCCCCTGCTTCTTCTGGGAATTACACCTGCTGACTGGGGGCTCAGTGGGGGCCGTCACAGGACTTCCCACTGCCACACTTCTGGTGGCAGGAAAATCGTGCCACAGCCAAAGCCGGGCAATCTGACGCACTCAGGACTCTGCGTGTCTGTGAGGTCAGAGCACAGGCCTCCGCCCACAGGTCCCGGCTGCCACCCCCACGTTCCCAGGCTGTCTGCTCCACCTTCTCCTGGCTCCCCAGTACTGAGCACCCCCCAGTCTCCTCTTCATGGCTGTTTTCAGTAATGCTAATCTGGGAGAAAAGCCCAGGATTCTCTCCTCTCTCCTCGACCTCCCTCCCCTTTCCCCATGGCCAAGTAAGCCTGGCAGATCCCACCAATGACAGACTCTGCTGAGTGTGTCCCGGCTCCCACCTACAGGTGTGGCCTTCATCCATACCCTCCCAAGGCTCTGGTTCACAGCTTTCCACCCTCCCACCCCCAAACCCAATCCCCAAACTCTCCAATGACCTGCCATGAAACAGATCGGAGCCTATAACCCCCACGGCAAAGCCCCCGAGTCCACACTGCCCAGGGCAGTGCCTTTAACAAAGGACTGAGAAGACGGGGTTTGGTGGCAGTGCCTCAGGCATGGGGTGCAGAGAGCACAGCCACAGGCCACCCGGTGAACCAGCCCCGCCACCCCTTCCAGCCGCAATCTCTCCCCCGCGCTCAGGCACCTTACAGCCTGCGGTTAAACTACAAGACCTGCCCTTCCCTCTGACCCCCCAGGACTCTGCTCCTGCACCCCCACCAGTTAGCAAACACCAGCATGGCCTTCAGCATTCGCCCATGCTCTGCTAAATCTGAGCTGGACCACCCCAAAGCCGGGAGGGTGCCTCCGCCAAGGCACCTCCGCCTCTATTCCACTCAGCATCTGCAATCAGCCTCGGCCAGGCCGTGATTTCAGGGCGCACGGACGCAGGGTCTGGTCTGTCTCCCTAAGCTCTGAGAAAGAGAAACCGAGGCCCAGACGTCGATGGGCTGGCCCCGACACTTCTTGCTGCGCTGCGGCGCCACCAGCTCACAAGCGCCGCCGTCAGCCGAGATCACCCCGTGGCCAGGACGCGGGGAGACAAAATCGCAAGACTCCGGCACACCCTGCCCAAGGGGGGGAGCACAGGGTCCCTGAGCAAAGCGCACACCGGCCAGACGCCCCTCCCCCGGCCCCCTCCGCCGACGGCCGTTCCCCCGCCTCGCTCCGGCCGCGCCTCCCACGGGTAAGACGGGTCCCACGGCCGGGGACCTGCCCTCCCGCCGGCCGGCACGCAGTCCGGGGCCCAGCCCCGAGCACAGCCCCGAGCGCCGGCCTGTCTTCCCCGCGCTCGCCGGCCGGCTGCCGGCCACGCACTCGCACTGCCGCCCCGGCGCTCGGGCCGCGCAGGCCGCCGCCCTCCCCGCCCGCCCCGGCCCCTCACCTCGTCCAGGTCCACGTAGGGCCCGGCGCCCTCGGGAAACATCTCGTCCACCGCCGGCTTCATCTCACCTGCGGCGTCTCCCGCGTCCCCGGCTCACTTCCGGTCCGCCGGAAGCCTCTTCCGGTAGGCGCGCGGCCGCGGTAGGTCTAGACGCCGGAGGACCGCCGCCTCTGTGGTCTCCCGCGGGCGCGTCGGCGCACAGGGACGCTCGCGGCGCAGGGACGTGGCGGCGGGCGGCGGCCGCGGCCCGCTGCGCCCCGGGGGCCTGGCACCGAGCGCTGCCCGGGAGGTGCCCGTGAGAGAGGCGCGTAGCCAGGGCGCGGGGTGAGGGGCGGGCGGCGGTGCGGGCGGGACCGGGAGAGAAGCGCAGGCCTGCGGGGGACGCCCGGCCTGGGGACGTGGCAAGGCCCCGTCGTAACGTTGCAGGGGCACCGAGTGTGTACAGCTGTCACATCTCTGTGTTGTACACCTGAAACGAGTACTAATGTGCATAAACTATACTTTAAAAGAAAAGAACGTGAATGGTCAGTGCAGTGAAAGGGCAGCCCGCCAGATGGGGGCAAGTGCTTACGCGTTACTTCTGTACTCTACATATACATACACGTATGATCATGGATTAATATCCAATATATAAAAACCCATAAAACTCAACAGCAACAGATCCCAATTCAAAACGGGCAAATGACTTGAATACACCTTTCCCTGAAGCAGATGTTCAAATAGCCAATAAGCACATGAAAAGATGCTCAACACACTAACCATTAGGGAAATGCAAATCAAAACCACAATGAGCCACCACCTCACACTTATTAGAACGGATACTGCTTAAAACCCCGGGCAATAACGAGTGCTGGAGAGGGGGGGGGGGGGACAAGGAGCGCTTGCACACTGCTGGTGGGACGGGGAACTGGTGCAGCCGTCGTGGAAGAGAGTGTGGGGGGAGCCTCAAAAATTAAACATAGAAATACCACGGATCCAGCAGCCCCACTCTGGGTGTGTCCCCAGAGGAAGCGAAAGCAAGGTCCTCGTGAGATATTTGCACGCCCATGTTCATACAGTTCACAACAGCTAAAATGTGGCAGCGGCTCAGCTGTTCCTTGATAGGTGGACGGCTGAGCAAGGTGTGCTCTGTACACAACATGGAATACTGTTCAGCCGTAAAGAGGAAACAGATTCTGATACCTGCTGCAACACAGATGAAGCTTGAGGACGTGATGCTCCGTGCAACGAGCTGTCACACAAATTCTGTGGGACTCCACTTGCAGAAGGTCCTACAACAGTCAGATTCACAGACAGAGACCAGGTGGGCAGGCACTGGGGGCTGGGGGAGGGGCTGGGGAGTCAGTGTCTAACGGGGACAGTTTCACTTGGGAAAGAGAGAAAGTTCTGGAGATGGATGGCGCTGATGGATACACAACAACGTGAATGTGCTTAGTGCCACTTAAAATAGTTACAGTGGCAAATTTTATGATATGTGTATTTTATCATAACTTTTTAAAGCATGTGAATGAGAGGAGGGGTAGGAGGGAGGGGACAGGCGGGGAGGGGAGGGTGGGGCAAGAGCTTGAGATACTTGAGCTAGACTTTTGGAAGCAGGTAGGCTTGGGGGCTGGGCGGCAAGAGAGGTGGAGGAGGGGCGGGGCGGGGCAGGGAGACAGGGACTGAGCCTGGATTGAGGGAGACTGTGGCCTGAGCATGGGGCTCAGGAGAGGCGAGGAGAGGCTGGGAGTGTGGGGGAGCCTGAGGTGTCACCATGACACGAATCACCCTGAAGTACCCGAGAAAGACCAAGGAAGCCACGAGTCTGTGGTCACCAACAGGCTGCTTCTCTGAACCTATCCCCATAGCGGGGTGAGACCTTCCAGGAAGCCAGGGCTCGGGGCCCACCCCAGGGACACTGATGTTCATGGGGTGGCAGAACTGGGAATGTGAGATGTCACCGAGGTGGAAAGACCATGTCACTTGGGAGGAGCCCTGAGCGCACCTAGTGGGTCTGGGTCATCCGTGGGGCCCGAATCCTGCCCACGTCCTTTCGCTAGTGGAAGGAACCCTATTCATGACTCCCCAGGACAACAGGAGTGGATGGCTGGGTCCCCAGGGCATGTGGTCCCCCAGGTCACCAGCCACCAAGAGGGCGAGAGGGCGGTGGTCATGGGTGGTGCCTGCTCCCGGCAAGGAGCGCAGTGGTGGAGGGCTGGCGGTGAGCGGGGTGAGGGCATGGGGCAGGGGGTGGAGGGTCCCCCACGAGATCTGCCTGCCAGGGGGAATCAGGAGGGGTGTAGAGAGGAGAACTGAGCCTGCCTTGTGCTGAGGTGAGCAGGGAGGGTCATGGCCAGATTGGAGTCCCGAACTTGGAGTGAGATGCCCTGGGACTGTGAGGTGGCAGGTAGGGGGTCGGCGGGTGCCCGAGAGAGAGGACACGGTTCCGGCCGGGGCATTACACGGCCCTCCCGGAGGGCGCGCCGGGCTGTGGTCCCGAGCAGCCTGCAGAGAGGCGGCCCAGGGAGCCGGCGGCGCGACGTCCGAGTGGGATACGAAGGCGCACGCAGGCAAACTGAGCTGCTAGGTCGCAACACGGAGATCCTGTGGGCAAGCGTGCCTTCTGCCTGCTGCGTGAGGTTGAGGCCCGACTGTCCCCACTGGGAGCTCAAGACCCATCCTCACGCCTGGCGATCATATGAACGGGGACTGTTGTCGTCGTTAATTTGCAGAAACCAAATTCAAACTAGCTGTCTGGTCTCCCTCGCACCAGCCACGAAGGTTTTCGAAGGGAAGTTGATTTATGTTTTGTATTTTCTTTATTATTTTGTATTATACTACAGTATTGTGATCATTTTTATATGAATATTTTGGGGTTGCGAAACGAATCATCTGAGTTTCCATTAATCCTTACGGGGAAATTCGCTTTGACATACGAACGCTGAGCCACCGGCCGCGCCCGGCCGGCCTTTCCCCACCTCAGCTTCTGGACTAAGGGCGGTGCTTCTGGGCCCCGAGCCTTCCGCCAAGGCTGGGCTCCTGCTGCCCTGGTGTGAACCGCCCTCAGGAGTGCCCTGAGGAAAGGGGGCAGGCAGGGCCCCAGCCCAGGAGTGGCCCCTGGGGGTCTGGTGGCCGCGGGCAGGGGACTTGGGGTGTGGCTGCCTGGATCTGGGTCCCGTCAGTAAGCCAGGCGGTGCCCTGCTGTGGGCTTGCTTCAGCCCCCCCCCCCGCACTCCGGGGCCCCGCAGCCCCTCCCAGGGCATCGTGAGCTTAGCTGTCAGGGGGACGAGTAGAGCAGAGCCCTGAGTCCGAGCCGTGGTTCATTTGTCTAATAAGACAGGAAATGTGGCCTGCGTGGAGGGGTCTCCTGAAAGAAAACCACCAGCATCTGTGCGTCTCAAGTGAGTTTATTGAGCTGCGGCCGGGGGTCCAGGCTGGGCTCAGTCCTGCTGATAGGGGACATGGAACCCCAGGGTGGTCCCCAGGGGGAAGTGGGCGAAGAAGGTGCGGGCCAGGTCCTCGATCTGGGGGTAGGCGCCCAGGGTCTGGAAGTACTGCACGTAGTTCCAGAAGTCTGAGGTGGAGAAAGGCCAGTAAGGCAAGGCCGGCGGCTCCGCGTAGGGGTCTGAAAGACACAAGCCCGCTCGTCCGGCCCCGAGGCCGCCCCTCCACGGATGCCTCGGGCCGCGGCCGGTGCCCAGCGCCCCCATGCCGTGAAGGGACCCTCCCGGCTGGGAGCCAGGACCTGGGTGGTCCCTGGTCCTCCGGGGGAGCACCCCGGGGCCTTGCCATCTGGGTGATGACCTGGGTTCTGCCTGTTGAGACTCACGGTCTGGGGGAGACGAGGAGAAGGGGGGAGGGGCAGGAATCCGGCCCCCGTTCTGGGAGGCTCCCGGTGGGATTTCAGAGGGGACCACAGCCCCCGGCCCTGGAGTCCAGATGCCGCTGCTGTGGGGCGGGCGTTCGGGGGAGGGCCACGGGGTGAGTCCAGCCTGAGGGCGAGGTGCCAAGCCTCAGGGGCTCAGAGGGTCTCTCCTGCCCTGTGCCGCCCCAGGTGGCGGGAGGGCAGGGCCCAGGGCAGAGGCTCCGGTCCCTCGGCCTGAATAGCTGGGCCCTGAGCTGACCCAGGCCTCCTGCTTCCTCTGCTGCGGACAGAAGCTCCCACCCAGCCCCCCTCTGACCCTGCCCCACCCAGACACACAGCAGAAAAGACCAGAGGACAATACAGTACCTTCCTCCTCCTGCACTGGCTTGGTCCCTGCAGGGGAAGAGAGAGCGGTCACCCTGGAGGCCCCCTAGCGCAGGACCCACCGCACACAAGCTGCCCACGCCGCCAGGGAGATGGCGCAAGGGACAGGCAGCCACTCACCGGCCAGGGGCCCCAGCAGGAGGCAGAGCGCCAGCCCTCGCACCAAGCAGGCCGTCATCTTCCCCGGCGCGTCCTCCACCAACGGACGGGCCCCGGTCTACCTGCGGCACGAGGGGCCCAGAGGGTGAGACCAGCCACCGTGGGGGCCCCGCTCCCTCCCAGCACCCCTGAACCGGCCGCTCCCTGGAAGACAGCTCTGGGCAAAAGACACGTGCAGAGTGTTTTCATAGCAATTTCAGTTTCAGTGACTTCAGACCGTTGTCCCGAGGCTGGACCCCACCTGTCAGCCGGCCTGTGCGTAACGGTAGGCGGTGACCCCGCACCTGCCCCTCCCGAGGTTACCTTGCGGTCCCGTTGCTCAGCCTCAGCCGGACGGGATGGGCGTCTGCCGCCCGCACGCAGGCTCCTCTTTATAAAAGGCCAGAGACGAGGAGGCAGACGTCACCTGCACGAGCCGTCAAACTGAATATTTCATCCCACACAGAGCGCTGAGGGCTCTGTGACCCTGCTGGCAGTGAGACCTCGAGAGTCCACTGTGGGAATCTGATCCAAGGATCAAATTCGGAGAAAAACATCTCTGCACAGGCACGACTAGGATTTTAGGACCGAATTCAACATCAGGACTCAAACGCAATTTCCTCTCCGCCAGGAGAGAAGGACGTTCTAAGTCTGACACTGGGGCTGAGAGCCCCCCTTACAGGAACAGGGTAATCACAGGGCTGGCCCTGGAGGGACAGGCAGGCAGGGCGGGGCCCTTGGGGAGCCATG